TCGAGTTCTATTCTTCTTAAAGAAAGAAGGAGCGAACCCGTTTGAAGAGATGTCTAAGTTCCATACTCCCTAGAGAAAGAGGGAGCGAACCCGTGTGAAGATATCCGAGTCCCATACTCCGTAAAGAAAAAGGGAGCGAACCCAGTTGAAGATGTTCGAGTTCTATACTCCCTGAAGAAAGAGGGAGAGAACCCGTTTGCAGAAGATTTTCAAGTTCTATACTCCCTGAAGAAATAGGGAGCAGACGCGATTGATGAAAATTGTGGGTCTTATACTCTCTGCAGAAATAGGGAGCCGACACGATTGTTGAAGATTGTTCGGGTCTTATACTCTCTGAAGAAATAGGGGGAAGACGTGATTGATGAGGATTGTGGGTCTTATACTCTCTGAAGAAATAGGGGGCAGACGCGATTGTTAAAGATTGTTCGGGTCTTATACTCTCTGAAAGACTATGGAGGTTTTTGAAAATGTTCGAGTTCTATTCTCCTAGAGAAAGAGGGAGCGAACCCGTTTTCAGAAGATTTTTTTTCAACTCTCACTCACCCTAGAGGAAGAGCGGAACGGATGAGTCTATCAAAGTTCTCATGGTCGGACAAATTTGAACATCTAGTGATCTTTGCTCTATTCTCGTTGCACGACAAAGAACAAAGAGGGGCAGCTGTAGATGCTCGATTTGTCCGGGGCGTTATTTAATTTTAATTGGGTTTTACTATTATCGTTATTAGGGTTATTAGCATAAGTTTGGTATTTGTTAGTTATTAACATGAAAATATATGGCATAAAATTGCAATAAAAAATAATAATAATTTATAACATGGATTAAGTATATTTATTTTTACTATTACAGGGCCTACACCAGAGTTACAACTAAAACGGGCCAGACCAAACAGGCCCAAGTATAAGAGAACCCTAAAACCCGTTAGGGTTTCCAGCTTCTGGTTCCAGCCGCCGCTCACCCTGGACTGTTGGATCTGCTCCTAATCCAACGGTCCAGATTAAAGGACCATTAGGGTTTTTGCCCTATGCCCAGCGCCGCCTTCCACGTCCAGAATGAGCCTCTGTCGACCGTTCGTCTCCACCAGTCAGCTTCCACCGACTGCGCAGACTCACAGAGTCCTCCCTGAAGCCCGTGACCAGCTCGCACTCGTGACCAGCTCGCACCCGTGACCTGCAAGCACACCAAACAAGAGACAGAGCACAAAGACAAAAACAAAACAAAAACGCAAGAAAAGAGGGCTTTTTAGGAACGGTGATCATCAAAAGGAGGGGGGAACAGTCTCTCTCGGTCATCGGCAACAGGAGAGAACAGAGAAAATAGAAAGAGAACGGGAATCAACAACAACAAAAACACACAGAGAGAACACCAAAGCAGTAACCATAATCATCTTTGAGATCCATCAGCAACCCAAAAAAATCCATAGACCCAAAAACGAAACAACCAAAGAGAGAAGTGAAAACTTTGACCTTCCTGGAGCCATCACTGTCGCTTGAAAGACCTAACCCGTTGAGTAACCAGGGTAAGCCGTCATTTCCTCTTCTGTTCTGTTCTTTGGTTTCACCCGGGTTTGGGCGAGGAAGGAGGGATTTGATTTAGAGAAAGCTAGGTCTAAGGTCTGTAGGAAGGAGAGGTTGGTTTTGTAAGAGTATTAGAGGGTAAAGCCGGCTGAGAGGTTCTGTTAGGGGTTTTCGGGAAGTCTAGTGTTAGTCTCGTGATGGGGTTGAAGTTTTCTGGTAGGGGTTTGTCTCGGTCTTAGACGGCGGCCGTGGAGGTCTTTGAGTTTTCTGGCGATGGAGGCTTTGGTTTTCGGGGTTGCAGAGGGAGTTTGAGAAGAGTGGTGAGGGTTGTCTAGTTTAGGCTTGTTTTGGGTTGACCAGTTGGTCTAGGTGGTCGTCGGGGTAGTGGTGGCCACCGAGGACTGGTGGCCAGCCGGTGGCGTTGAGTGGTGAGGGCGAGGTCTCGGTTGAACCAGATGAAGAATCGAGAGAGAGAGGATGAGAGTGAAACGGCGGGTTTGGTGAGGCTGAAGAAGAAATGAGATTAGGGTTAAAAATCTACCATTTGGTTTGTTATAACGCCAAAACGGCGTCGTTTAGGTGGCCGTGAAACGGCGTAGTTTTGTGCAGATCCAAAAACGCCCGCGTTTTGTTGGGGAGGGGTTAATTGTGAGCGTGGCCATCCCAGTTTTGTTTCATTTCGTTTTGATCCTTAAGCCGAGCTTTATTGATATTTTGATTTCGCCTCGTAATTTCCAGCGTTTTACATTTCAGTCCAGAATCATGCAAGGGTTGTTTTCGTGATTGTTATACATTGGATATGTAATTTGAGAAGCTTTCAATTTGATCCTATGCAATATTTTGGTTATATTATGTTTGCAGTACCCAGAAATGAAAATGTTATGAAAAGGTTGTTGTTATTTATTTTTTATGTTTTAGTCCTTTTAATATTTTATGCATGATTGTTAGGTTAATTTAGATTTATTTTAAAATATATGCATGGATATATTATTTCAAGCATGTTGTTCATACGCACGTAGGTGTAATTTATTTTATGAGCATGTCTGAATTCGTTCACTTTAATCGCATATTTAATTATTTTTTGCATTAACATCACTTTGTATAATTTTGCATGATATCCTCATATGCATAACTTGACATTATTGCATAATCGGAATTAAGGGTAATGCCCTTTTAATCTAAAATTATCAGAATGGCTTTCCTTAACTTACAGGAAAGTTGTTTTGACGATTTTAAATTAAAATGGTGTCCCGTCAGTAACGCCTAATTAAATTTGGATATGTCATTGTAAATTTGGGAGCGAAAGAAAAGGAAATATTCGACTATTTAAACTTTTCGAGAAAAGGTCGTTAGAACTGAACTAAAGATCTGGTCTCGATATTTTAAATAATCGAATATTCTTTATCCTTCTAATGACTTGGTAATTTTAAATTAAATCTATTTTGTTGCTTTGAATGTTGCAAATTTGCATGTTTGTCGTTTAAAGGGATCAAAAATTAAATCAAATTTGAACTTGTGAAATTCGTTGCAAAGAAATTAATTAATCGACTAGGTACCGATTTAGGGCGTTGTGGGGGTGCTAATCCTTCCCCACACGTAATCGACTCCCGAACTCAGATTTTGATAACGCAGACCTCTACTTGTCGTTTTAATTAAAATTAATTTAAAATGACAGAATGTTTTTGGGTGCCCAATCACACCCTAATCAAAGATTGGTGGCGACTCCTCGAACCTTATATTTTTATCGTAAAGGAATTTCTAATTTTTCGAAACGAGAGGTTTTCTAAAATCGCACTGTTTTTAATCAAAAATCCAATTGAAAAGATAATAATTAAAAATGACGCGCTTTCAAAATCTCGCTCCCCCCACGTTTAAAAATCGTTTCGACAGGTTGCTTTAGTTTGTTTGGTGTTTTTGGTTTGTTATTTTTTGATTGGTTTCTTAGTTTAGAGTCTGTACAGATGGGGTTATTTGGATGAATAATATTTTCATTTATTCATAAAAATAATAATTTTGATAAATGTTGGGAACTAGTTTTGACATTATACCTAAAAGTTTATCAAATATAATTTGTATATCTTTATTAATTTAAAAATATAATAATTATATATATTTAAAATGAATCTAGAAAAATATAACAACTAGATAAATGTAATTTTTAATATAATTTATACATACTTTTGTTTAAATTATACATACATATATATATTTTTGGGGTATAGGATGAATCGTGACCTACGTAGATCAACCCCTATATATGCCCCTGTGTTTGATCGTGAGGCACGTTGGTGCATTCTCACATGTGCAATCTCACGTTCTATAACGTGTGGATATGACATGGTGTTTTAAGTAAATTTTTTACAGAAAAAACTATTATAAATAGTTATAATCAAGAGGTTAAAAGAACGAATTAAAAGTAATTTTATATTTAATGATTTTAAATTTTTTTCTCGTCAATTTAAGATTTTCATTGAAGAAAAAAATCATACAAGATTACCGCATGTCTTATTTATTTTTAAGGGAAAAAGAGCACGAAATGGCGCGCAAAGATACAAAAGAGACGCCTCCAAACAAAGACACACTAACCCTAATCCGGAGAGGTTGTCAACCCTATTTCGTATAAGATCAACACCATCGCAATTACATAACAATAATAACCCTATTGAATTCAATGAAATTTTGAATGTTTAAAAGATCTATGACGGATTTATTTTTTTGTGTAGACAAAGTTAAAGTGCTTGACGTTGATCATGATGGTTTAGCGTATACCGGGATGTGTTAGGTTCTAAATTCCATCCGCTCAGATGGTGCTGAGTTTTTTCTTGACGAATGCTTCATTATACCCGACAACTATAGCTTCTATGATGAGTACAAGGACTGAAAAAATTAAAGATGTACAAATTTAGGCCAAAAATAAAGAAAAAAGTGGAATATTTATTTAGAAAAGGAATAAAAAAAAACAAGTGGAGCCACTGAATAATGGGAAAACACGTACACAGTTACATAAAGATTCATTTTTTATTATTATACAGAAAGAAAGGAATGAAAACAAGTGAATCCACTATTAATAATACATCACCAAATACAGTTTTGTCTACATCTTCAAACGGAGAGACTAGGCCTAGCCTCCCGAATTTCATCTTCATGGCCTCTCTATAATTCTTTTCAAATCATATTTGTTGTTTTATTTGAATCACTCTTCTCCTGCAAAAAATGACCCATTGTCTTCGTTATTGAACTGTCTGAAGATCAAACATTTAAAACAATTTAAAATGATGAATCTTGACGAGATGAGAAAAGAGATTTTAATGTATAATACCTTCGAGTACGGTCAAAGCCGTAGCTTAGTAGTGGTGAGGAGGTGGAGGTGGAGGTGAAGAGTAGACATAGTGAGGTGGTGGTGGGGAGGAGACTTGTACTTGTAAACTGGTGGGGGTGGAGATTTGTATTTGTATGCCTCCTTAGGAGGTGGAGGAGACATGTACTTATAAACTGGAGGAGGTGGAGACTTGTACTTGTATACCTCCTTCGGGGGAGGAGGGGACTTATACTTGTAACTGGTGGAGGTGGAGACTTGTACTTGTATGCCTCCTTGGGGGGAGGAGGAGACTTGTACTTGTATGCCTCCTTGGGGGGAGGAGGGGACTTGTACTTGTAACTGGTGGAGGTGGAGACTTGTACTTGTATTCCTCCTTGGGAGGAGGAGGAGACTTGTACTTGTATGCCTCCTTGGGGGGAGGAGGGGACTTGTACTTGTAAACTGGTGGAGGTGGAGACTTGTACTTGTATTCCTCCTTGGGAGGAGGAGGAGACTTGTACTTGTATGCCTCCATGGGGGGAGGAGGGGACTTGTACTTGTAAACTGGTGGAGGTGGAGACTTGTACTTGTATTCCTCCTTGGGAGGAGGAGGAGACTTGTACTTGTATGCCTTCTTGGGGGGAGGAGGGGACTTGGGAGGAGGAGGAGACTTGTACTTGTATGCCTCCTTGGAGGGAGGAGGAGACTTATACTTGTAAACTGGTGGAGGTGGAGACTTGTACTTGTATACCTCCTTGGGGGGAGGAGGAGACTTGTACTTGTATGCCTCCTTGGGGGGAGGAGGGGACTTGTACTTGTAAACTGGTGGAGGTGGAGACTTGTACTTGTATTCCTCCTTGGGAGGAGGAGAATTGTACTTGTATGCCTCCTTGGGGGGAGGAGGGGACTTGTACTTGTAAACTGGTGGAGGTGGAGACTTGTACTTGTATTCCTCCTTGGGAGGAGGAGGACTTGTACTGTATGCCTCCTTGGGGGGAGGGGACTTATACTTGTAAACTGGTGGAGGTGGAGACTTGTACTTGTATGCCTCCTTGGGGGGAGGAGGACTTGTACTTGTATGCCTCCTTGGGGGGAGGAGGGGACTTGTACTTGTAAACTGGTGGAGGTGGGGACTTGTACTTGTATTCCTCCTTGGGAGGAGGAGACTTGTACTTATATGCCTCCTTGGGGGGAGGAGGGGACTTGTACTTGTAAACCGGTGGAGGTGGAGATTTATACTTGTATTCCTCCTTGGGAGGAGGAGGAGACTTGTACTTGTATGTCTCCTTAGGAGGAGGAGGAGACTTGTATTTATAGGTCTCCTTAGGAGAAGGAGGAGACTTGTAAACAGGGGTTGGTGGGGAGGAGAATTGTACTTGTAAGGCTCTATGTGGGGTGGTGGTGGAGAGTGGACGGGAGGAGGAGGCGGTGGTGACTTGTAATGGTAGGGTGGTGGTGGGTACTTCTTAGGAGGAGGTGGAGGAGAGGAATAAGTGTAATCTGCTGAGGTTTTAAAAGGTAAGCTGAGAGACACCGCTAAGACTAAGAGAGAAAGAGAAAGAGAGGTCATTGAAGACCCCATTTTCCCTATGTTTACTATAAAACTGGGTTTAGTTTTGCAATGCTCTTAGCCACCCTCTTCACTAGCTTTATATAGACTTTGTGTTACCTCATAATCATTTAAAATTTGTAAAATGCAAATAAATAAATAAAAGGGAAGCTTTCAACTGGTTCAGATTCATGCTTTATATTTAGGGAGATTCTCCTTGAAGTTGGCAGCTAAGCAGGGAATAAAGTAATAGTGTCACCTATAGGATATATATCCACATTAGTTAGCCTTTGTAGTTGACTTTAAACCGTTAGACTCCTTACATCAATGAGAGACGTGATAATTTTAATATTAGTATAGTATTAAAAAATAGTATAAAATCGTAAGTTACATATTACATTGTATCCAATTTTACCCCCAAAAAAATTATTCTTTAAAAGAATAATTATAAATTATTTATAAAATTATATGAAAGATATTAAAAATTATATTAAATTAAAATTAAATATTAATTAATATTTGAATTCTATTTCAATATAATATGGGAATATATTAGTTTTTTATTGTTGGGAAAATAGTCTATTGGCACCGAACTTTTGCATGAATTTTTTGGGCAAATGGACCGGGCAGCTTAGACTTTCTTTACCAGGCAGGCCCCATCTACTCAAATTCATCACCTATAATTAATTATCATCTTAATTATGAAAATGATAAAATAAATTTAATGATAGTATGGATCAAATCTATTTAATTAATTTAATCACCGGCAGAGAAAAACACTTTGTTCTAACAAACCACAATTATATAAAGGGATACAAAATTATTATTTTTACTTGTGACTATAAATATAAAGATGAGAGAAGTCTCTTGATACACTTCACATTGAAAAAGTGATACAAAATTATTTTCTACTCCTATACATTTTATTCTTTTTCTTTATTTACTTTATTTATTTCACAATAATAAATAAACAAAATTAATTATATATCACTAAATTGATGTGAATTAAAAAAATCATTTAAGAGCTATATTGGAGGAAAAAATATTAAATTAGAAACCTAAATGATTAATTTATCTTTCTTTCAAAAGAAAGTATAAAAGCAAGAAAGACAACACAACTTCCAATTGATTTTCTTTTATTACTACTCCTTAGTTGTCAATCTTGGCAAAAGAGAAAATCAACCTATTGAGCTGCTTTGATGGTAGAAGAAACTGTTGTTTTTTTATGGGTTTAGAGTTCGAACGGATATGTCTGTAAGGTTTTTATGCTTTATTAATGACTAAAAATATTGTAAATATGTTTTATAATCAACTCGCACTATTCGTAAAGGCATAATGGTAGAAATATACATACATTGAAGATATTTTGGCTATTATATCCTTGTTTTACTCTTTATTTATAATTTTATTTTGCTGTGCGAGCCGATTTTATAGTATTATTTGCTTATATAAATCAACATTACTTGAATAATTATAAAATATAAAAACTAAATTAAAATAAAAAAAATAAAAGGAAATAGATTAAAATAAGAAAATTATAAATTATATATGAGGTAAGTATAAGGTAGTATATGTTCGAAGATAACTCTCAATATTTCAACATTAAACGCTCACACACCTGATATCTATATTGCTCGAACACATGTCCTCAAGAATAACAACAATTATTTTACTACGAAATCACTTGGTTCGTGCAAAGACAAAAATATTTTGATTAAACAAATGGCAATTAGATCAAATGATTGTTAGGTCCAATCTCCAAATCTGTTGCTTTCTCAAACCATGCTATATATTTACACATATAAAATATTTTATTTTTAATAAAAAATATATTATTATTTAAACCACCGACAGGAGAGAGAAGTAAATTTTGACTAATTAAACTGCTGCTATTAGTATTTTTTACAATATTGTGATTAAAAAATTGCACGGTTATCATGGAATTGAATTAAATTTATTAAAACTATAAAAGAATGGAAAAATGAAATTCAACAACTAATTTTAGCCCTCCTAATTGGCTATCAAAAACGTTGAGCAAATAGGAATATTTTTCAGTATTTTTTATTTTCTAATAAAATAAAAATAATAACTAATATTAGGACTCCATATTGCAACTACCTTTAGATGAAATATTTTAAATTAATGATGACATGATAGGCATTTCAAGCCTAGAATGGCGAATTTTCTATAATAATAAAAAGTTAAACTCTCGTTTTTATTAGAAAAAATTAATACTTAATAATCAAATATAACACTAATAAAATTTTATACAATTTTTACTCTATTTATTAATATTTATTGAATTATTTTTATAATTATATTTTTATATACAAAATATGTCATTGGTTCACATCGTAAATGTGATAAGATTTAATAAGATAATAAATTAAGATTTTAACACTATTTTATAGAATTTTGGAATGACTATCCCACGTGGGATAATAATAAGTATATGCCATGCAAGGGTCAAAGGTTGGTGTAACATTTAAGGACAGTGAATGGGACAGACAGATTAATGTAGACTTAAAACTTGGTTTAATTCATTTAATTGGTATATATATGGAAATTCATAATGGATGTCTTCCACGGAAGTTGCTCTCAACATGGCGTTAGGGGCAGACTACTACCCTACCTCCCCTTATCTAATTACATGTGAGAATAGGGTCAGCTAATTTATATATGGAAATCTATTAAAAATTATTAAATTATTTTATTAATTAAAAATATAAATTATTTTCTTTCTCGCATTAAATATATCTTTTATTGACTTTTTATTATTTTTTTATCTTTAACTTAATATTATTTAAAATTTATTGTTAATAAAAATATATCTTTTAAAAACTTTTAATCAATTAGTTTTTAAAAACTTTTAATCAATTAGTTTTTAAATACATTTTATAAAATTTAATTATTTGAAATATTTAAAATAATAATGGTTAATATTTGAAAATTTTATTTTTTTTAAAAGGTTATGATAAATTTAGTCAGATAAGAGTAATATTTTTTTCTTATAAAAAATATTGATGTGAATCACACAAACTTTCAAGATCATTTAAAAGATAGAGATTATTTTTTATATTGTATCCCTATTTTCTTTTCTTTTTTTAATAAGTCTGCTTGTATGAAACATGTTCACCTGCCTATATGAAATGTTTTCTTATGCTTTTTGGTATATGTTTCGGTTGTTTCGTTGTTTTTTCATTTATCTTTTTTATAAGGGTTGATTTGACATTGACATAACTTATTAATATGACATTTATCTAATATCTTGTTGATCTTCCCTGTTTTGGACCCTCAAATTAGATTTGGATATCCGATTTACGTTGGTGGATAGCTTTTCAAGTCACTCGTGTCTAATTTATGGTTTGCTGATGGTCTTTCAATAGCTTGATCCCCTTTTGTGGATCGTTTGTCGATGCTATCAGATCTGTTTGTATTTATCTTTGTTTGAGATTCTTGGTTTAATTTTAAATCTTTCATTGTATGGTTTGTGATCTTAAGTTTCTAGTTTTATTTCAATGATTATAGGAAATTTTACTAATTATGTGCTTAATTTACGATTGTGATTGTAAATATTTATTGTAATTTAAGATCTTTCCTATTTTGAATAAAATTAATTGATTCTATAAAAAAAATATATGATGTCCCACATGGTTAGACGATTAGCCTAATTAGTTTCCTTCTCACAAAGGTAATTATAGTTTGTTAATTATATAAGCCCAATGTTGGCATTATCACTCTCACAAACTATTTTTTTATTAAGCTAAGGTGATTACAAAATAGTATATGCTCTAAATACTCTTAATCATTTGACAATAAACGCTCAATCACCTTGTTGCAGCCGCTAGTGCTCGAACCCATGACCTCTAAGAACAACAACGATTCCTTTAACCACTAAAGTAAATTGGTTCGTGCCCTCTCACAAAGTAAACTCTAAGAGAAAATATGAGTTTAGTAAATTTTTAAGGCCAAAATAGAGTTCTTGGGATCACTATCTTTTGAAACTAGACAAAACATATATATATATATATATCCAACCCTAAAGTATTTGTGGGGGTGGATTTCATCTAGTATTTATCAAATATATGTTGTTCATATATGCATGTCAGTTATTATATATAGTGATAAAGAATTTGTATTGGGATGTATTCATTGTGTGTTTGATCATTAAGCAATTATTTTTAGTTGTTTCTCTAGAAGACGATAAAAATTATGAATCAAGAGTGAAAAATACATAATAGCAAAAGAACTATCAGCGTTTACTTATTATTTTTATTGTATTCTTAACATTATCGTGTCACGTCAACAAAAATATTGATAAATAAAAATATCAAGATAAAAATTTATTTTAAATGAGGTAAACATTTATAAATATATAAAATTATACATAAATAAAATTTGAACTTTTACTATAAAACTATCCAACCACTTTAACCTTGCCAATTGATATATGAAGTTGCGATATATATATATATAATATATATATTATATATATATATATATATATATATATATATATTTTGTAAATGGTCGGGTGATTATAATATAATATATGTTTTAAAAAATTTTAATCAATTGTCAATGCGCACACATCTTATAAGTATAATTGTTCAAATCCAAAACTTTAAGGAGATTATACTTAGCTTGAGGGGTGCTCCATGAGATCCGACAACTAAAAATTCTATGACGAGTATTTGGGACTGAAAAGTTAAAGATGTTCAGATTTACGCAAAAAAATTAAGCAAAACGTGGAGCATTTATTTGGAAAAGGACTATTTTTGTTACTGATAAACCCATGCATTTGCAGAATAATTGGAAAACACGTACACATTTACATAAGGATTCATTCTTATTATTAAGCAGAGAGAGAGAAATAAAAACAAGTGGAACCACTGAATAATACATTGCCAAATACAAATTTGTCTACTAACATTCACATCAACCGTGGAGACTAGGCCTAGCCTCCCGAATTTTCACTTGTTTGGCCTCTTTATATTTCTTTTGAAACCATATTTTTTTTTGCTTTATTTGAAGCACTCTTCTCCTGCAGAAGAAAACCCATTGTTTTGGTTATTAAATTGTCTAAAGATCAAAACATTCAAAACAATGTAAAATGATGCATCTTGACGAGATGGAAAAAAAAAAGATATTTTAAAATATGATACCTTACAGTACGATCGAAGTCGTAGATTAGTAGTGGTGAGGAGGAGGTGGTGAAGAGTAGATATAATGGGGTGGTTGTGGGGGGAGGACTTGTAAACGGGTGGGGTGGAGATTTGTACTTGTATGCCTCCTCCTTGGGGGGGAGGAGACTTGTACTTATAAACTGGAGGAGGAGGAGGTGGAGGTGGAGGTGGAGGTGGAGACTTGTACTTATATGGCTCCTTAGGAGGAGGAGGAGACTTGTACTTGTAAACTGTAGGAGGAGGAGGTGGAGACTTGTACTTGTACATCTCCTTGGGAGGGGGAGGAGATTTGTACTTGTAAACTGGAGGAGGTGGAGACTTGTACTTGTATGCCTCCTTAGGGGGAGGAGGAGATTTGTACTTATAAACTGGTGGAGGTGGAGACTTGTATGTCTCCTTGGGAGGGGGAGGAGATTTGTACTTGTAAACTGGTGGAGGTGGAGACTCGTACTGTATTCCTTCTTGGGGGGAGGAGGAGATTTGTACTTATAGACCGGTGGAGGTGGAGACTTGTATGCTTCCTTGGGAGGAGGAGGAGATTTTACTTGTAAACTGGTGGAGGTGGAGACTTGTACTTGTATGCCTCCTTGGGGGGAGGAGGAGATTTGTATTTATAAATGGTGGAGGTGGAGACTTGTACTTGTATGCCTCCTTGGGGGGAGGAGGAGACTTGTAAACCGGTGGAGGTGGAGACTTGTACTTATATGCCTCCTTGGGGGGAGGAGGAGACTTGTACTTGTATGTCTCTTTGGGAGGAGGAGGAGACTTATAAACAGGGGTTGGTGGGGGAGGAGACTTATACTGTAGGGCTCTTTGTGTGGCAGTGGTGGCGAGTACTTCTTAGGAGGAGGTGGAGGAGAGGAATAAGTGTAATCTGCTGAGGTTTCAAAAGGCAATCTAAGAGACACTGCTAGGACTAAGAGAGGAAGAAAGAGAGATCATTGAAGACCCCATTTTCCCCATGTTTGCTACAAAGATGAGTTGGGTTTTGTTATGCTCTTAGCCACCCTCTTCACTCGCTTTATATAGATTTTATTTTTACCTCATAATCATGGTAAAGTTCATTTTTAAAATGTAAATAAATAAATAAAAAGAGAAATTTTCAACTGGTGCAGATTCATGCTTTATATTATTGGGTTGAAGTTGGCAGCTAAGCAGGGAATAAAGTAATGGTATTGCAAATAGAATATTCAATTACATTAGTTAGCCTTTGTAGTTGACTTTACACCGTTAGACTCCTTACATCAATTATACGAATTGAGAGACGTGGTCATATTAATATTAGTGTAAAGTTGTAGGTTACATTACACTGCATCCAAATTTTTAAAAAAAATTATTTGAAAGAATAATTATAAATTATTCATATAAATTATAAGAATAATTATCCAATTTTCGATTTTAATATTGCCTCCCTCCAGCTTTTTTTAATTAAAAAATAGTACATCTTCCAAATTATCCAAATTTTATTGCTAGGATGAGGAAAATATTGTCTATAAGCACCTAACTTTTGCATGAATTTTTGGGCAAAGGGACCGGGCGGCTTAGACTTTCTTTGCGAGGCTCCATCTTCTAAATCCCTTTAATATATGTTTAGATTAAATTAATTTTGTTTTTAGAATATCTTTCTCAAAAAATAAAAAAAAATTGGTTATTAAAATAAATAAAAATAAATTGATTATCAAAATAAATAAATAATATAAATTAGTGTTTTGTTCACAAAAGATTGAAAAACTTGTGTTGTTATTTTTAGATAGTGTGATCTAGTCCAAATCTTGTTGATGGGAACATTTGAATTACAAAAACCGTAGAAAATTCCTCTATTCTGATTTGAGCATAGAGATGCAACTTATGATTACTGGGAGAATGATAAGCTTTAAAACCATGAGCAATTTGAGGTTCGGAGCAGGGGCAAAGCTCCATCCCCGAGGGCCACTGTCTTCCTTAAATATATGGATAAATGTCTATTTTTAACTTTAAATTTTAGTTTATTTTGATTTTGTCCTCCTATTTTGTTTATTAACTATACTTGGTCCTCTTGAACTAGTGTCTTGATTCCGTCCCAGATTTAGAGGGAAGAAAAGAGAGAGGATCTCCTCCTTCAATCTTGCACAAGGATTTATATATTGACCCTTAATATTGATGTCAAGCATAGGGTTATGATGACTACTCGTAAGATAACAAAAAAACAGATATGATCGTTTGACAATAAATTTAATTTTGACAATAAATTTAATTTTGACATATTAAATAAACTTGTCAAAAAGTTATCGATGATTAGAGGTTATGGATCTCGAGAGACACATAAGCGAAAAAATTTCTTTGGAGGCTTGGAAATGGATTAAACCTATATGTAGTAATTCCTCCTTTGACAAATAAGCAGTAATTCTTGATCACGTTTTTGGAGAGAATATATTTCTATTTTTCAGCCAATCCGACCTGAAAACTATAAATCCTTCACCCGACTTGAATCAACCAAAAAAATATACATTTTTCATCTAATTCGAATCCGATCCAATTTTTTAAGATAAAATCCGAACCTAACCCAACCTGAAATAATATATTTATTAAAAATATCATTTTTATTCAATAAAAAAAGGGATTTAATTGAAAGAAAATAATATATAAATGTGTATTATTGTAATTATCCCTAAATATAAGGAAAAATTACAATTTATTTTGGGTTGGGTATGGTATTTTTCACCATAAACTCGAAATCGACCCGACCAGACCCGAACATAACCTTAAAAAAGCCCAACCCGACCTAATTTGAACCCGAAATTTTTTTTTAAAAAATCCAATCCATCGAGTTTGAGTCTCATGCCCATCCCTACATGTATAATATCAATTATTTCTACCTAGGTTAATCAAACTATTTTTATATATTTGCAATTTAGTTATTATAATTGAATTTAGTCTATGTTTTGGCATAATTTTCAATACCTATTTGAGATTAATTTTAAATCTCGGATTCCTTTGGGTAACCAACTTTAATTTTTTTAAACCGGAAAAAATTATTCAATTTATAATCATATTTTTATTTTAATTTTATTTTAATCGTTTTGATAACATGGAATTGTGATATTTTATTATATGATATTTTCTTAAAATATTACATCATTAAAATAATAAAATATGTAAATTTAAAGATCGATGTGAATTAAAATATTCATTTAAGAACTAAATTCAGAAAAAATATTAAATTTAAACCCTGAATGATTAATTTATCTTTCTTCCAAAAGAAAGTAGGAAAGCAAGAAAGAGAACACAACTTCCAATTGATTTTGTTTTATTACAAATCCTTAGTTGTCAATCTTAAAAGAGACTGTCTTGTTTGAAAAAAAAATGTTTTTCTTTCTCTTTTATTTTTAAAGTCTGAAAATATCAATTAAAAGAGTTTTGAAAGATGTTTGATCCAAAGTTTTGAAAATATTGTCACTTTCACGGTTTTACAATTGAGACAAATCATAAAACTAGAGTTCATCGGATATCAAAGAATTAATTACAATGTTAATCCTTCAATAAATTATAGCTATTTGACATGTTCCAAGATCAAAGCTATTTTTGGGAAATGGTCAAGCAAAGAAAGGATAAAAAGTCTCAGGTTATTGTGTTTGGTTAAAGGTTTGGCATTTTTGTTCATTTGATGCTAAATGGTTTGACATTTGATGCTCAAAGGTTTGATGGGGTAGCTTGCATGCTCATCTACTAGAAGTGTTCTCCAACTCCCAGCTTTTATGGTCACACTCGGATTGTGTGATGCCTTATCGAGGAATTTGTGTGATCGCCTCAGTTGCACAATTTTTATATTAGAGCCGCCTTTTCAGGTTTTCAACTCGAACACTCCTTTGGTTTCAAGACGTTATTCAGGATTTACGTCTTGAACCCCCCTTTGTTATTTTTCTCTATCATACATTAATTACATTGTTTTTTGCAAACAAAGATTAATCCTGATGGGCGGGATGAAATCTGAAGATAGTCTCTCCTGTTTAGAAATCCATGTATGATTAGAAAGGACTTTTAAGGCACGTAATGTAGGCCAGGGTTCATGGTTATGAAAGAAAAGGATAAATAGGCCCAAACAAGTGTTTCAGGGTGTTGAACCAAGGATCAATTCATTCTGATGCCTTTAATCTTGTCTTGCTCAAAATGTCTCTTTCTCTTGATGCTCTATGATCTTCGAGTGAAGTGATTCGGGAATGATTGTGCTTGATCAATCTCGTAGTTTGAAGCTTGATGTGCCATTTGTCTTTAGGGAATCTTTGCATGTGTTTTTTGTCCCTTTTTCTTTTTTCTTTTTGTTCTTTTTTTGCTTTTTTTTTTTTGCTTTTTTTTTCTTTTTTCCTTTTTTATTCTGATTAAATATTTGCACTTGGCATCTGGTTCACCTTTTGGTAACTCCTTTGGATTGATGTCTTCACTCATGTGAGCAGATTTCTTCCACATTGCCCCCAGTGTGGAGGGTGATCCTTGGTTAGGGTTGAATCAGAAGAAAAATACTATAGGCTCAAAAGGGGACACAAGGGATATATATTTCTCCTGTTGTGAAGGGATAAAGAAAGAAAGCCGTTCATCATTTCATACATGGAAGTCCTCACAGAAAAGGTATCCCCAGGGGGATAGATTTTCAGGATTGATTCTATTCACATGAAAACAGTGTAATTAATGCGTGATAGAATTATTTCGGATGAATTCTTCTTTTTTCCCCAGATGTCTCAATGTTCAAGCTCCCCGCAAGATGCCCCAAGTTGTGTCTTTAGAATAAATCTCATGTTCAGATGAACAACTCAATGCCTTGGGTTAAAATGTCAATTTTGAGTCTAAAAAGGCAGTGGTGTGATCTTATTGACTCAAAGAAAAGTATGGATGTATCAAAAAGATAAAGGCAATGTTCAAGAATTTCAAAGGGAGGTAATGTCAAAATTTGGTCTTTTTGGTAATGACCATGAGTTATTTTGGGCAAAGAATCAAGGTATTTTATTCTGGGGTTTGAGACAGGATAAGAAATGTCTAATCTTGTCATATGTCAAAAATCTATAATTCTTGAAGAATTAAAAGAATCCTTAATTCATTTAATATTCGAAGAACTAAAGATTAAAACTCGTTCAATTGCTCCACCTTAGAAAGTAGCATAAATTCAATCGTTTAACAGATTAAGCAAACATGAAAGATCAGAGACGTGTTCAAACAAAACAATCCTCTAAGTGCAAATGGTATATGTCATGTCCCCTTCTTCGGCTTTTTATGCCCCTGAATCCATCAGGTTTTGGATCTTGCGCTTCAATGCCTTATAGTTCTCAGAGGAATATTTGGGGCTTCTTATGTGGTAACAGCTAACAGCTTCAACATCGTAGTCCTTAGGATACGAGGATTCTTTTCTTAGATCATCATGGCCGGCTTTGTCCTATCATCAGCTAATTAGGCTCTTTAATGTTACAATCTTGCTTCCATGTTTAAATTCGCTTCATCGAGTCCTTCATGACTTAATTTCATGTTTGTGAAAATGCTTAAAATTGTAGATGAAAATGCAAAAGGCAAAAATGCAAAATGCAAGAATGCATGAAATGTTCGAGGCATTGATCCAGAAAAGTGTCCATTATTATAAATAATCCTTATTCAGACAAAAATGTTTTATCTTGTAAGAGATATAAAAACAATAAAAGGTATGTTCGGACTAAATCTTCTAGACATCCATCCGAGATACTTTCTTCCATGACTCGACTGCTTCTTTGATCATCTTCTTATAACTGTCACTGTGATACATAAACTCTGATATAGATAATCCATATGTTGCTGGGACAAACTGATGTGCCCCATACTGTCTAAGTGCCAACAACGGAGTATACCCAACTGCACCTCAAAGTCCAAATAGGGTCATGGTGTCAGAATTCCCACACTTGAAAAGAACATCACTGAGGAACAACCAGGGGGCTCTCCAGGT